GCAGAATTCTCCGTGGGTCTCTCCCGTTTCTACTTGTCTTCTGAACAAGAGGCATTGTCAGCTTTGTCCATACCTTTGAAAGGGTGTGGGTGTAGCGGTCTTGGAAGATGATTGTCTTCCTCCAGAACAGAAGGTAGATTTATTTCCTGGCCAGGTTAATAAAGCTAATGTCTCTTCCCAGGGCAAACATTAAGCAGACTCGCCAGCAGCCCCTCTAAAACTTAGGGGTTTCCTGAGGTCAGAGTGCAACGGCTAGCTGAGCAACACACCCCTCTGGACTGCTCCACGTGGCCCCCACGGGAGCGGGAGCCCAGAGAAACCAAGGCGGACTGACACTCGTGTTACCTGCTGCCCCATGAGGAATACAGCTCTTTGCCTCTGACCCAGCTCCCTGTCTTCCATCCGCATCTACAAAATGATGGCAGGCCAACTTGTGAGCTTGGAAGCAAGTTGCTCCCCAGTCTGTTGACACCAACAGAAAGGCAACCATGCGTGTTTGCTGCAGTGTTCTTTCTAAAGAGCCTCCCTAGAAACGCCCAACTCTCAAATACTTATTTCTGGAAATAAGAATAGTTTCAAGATGTCAGAAATCCCTTTTCCACGGGCAGAAACAGGGCAACCCTTCAGTCTCCAACTGGAGACACACGTTAAGTGAGGATGGTGTCGTTGGCCATGGTGTCCTTTATGCTGTCTCCCTTTCATTCACTGGCTGACTGTCTCTGTAATTATCTTTTTTAAAATGTCAGCTCCTCTCACCCAGAAGACCAAGGGCAATCAGCTGCAAACTGAACTTTCGAAGCTTTTAAAACACACTTGTCGTTCAGTAGGGAGATGGGATTTCTCAAAGGCAGTGTCAGGGAAGCTGATGCTGAATGACAGACGAAGGAACTCTTTCCTTTACTCTCACGTGGGGTCTTGCGGCCCCTTCCTCAGGAAGCACCGCAGGGAAGTGGGATGGGCTGAATCCGCCAACGTTTCTTCAATGAAGCCTGGATGGAGGCTCTTTGAGGAGGATCTGTTCTCAGTTTTTCCACTAGTCATGCGCGGATGTGAGAATTGGACTATAAGGAAGGCTGAGCACAGAAGAATTGATGCTTTCAAATTGTAGTGCTGGAGAAGATTCTTGAGAGTCCTTTGGACTGCAAGGAGATGAAGCCAGTCGATCCTAAGGAAAATCAATCCTGAATATTCATTGGAAGGACTGATGCTGAAGCTGAATGTGAAAAGCTGACTCATTGGAGAAGACCCTGATGCTGGGAGAGATTGAGGGCAGGAGGAGACAGGGTTGACCGAGGATGAGATGGTTGGATGGCATCATCCACTCAATGGAGATGAGTTTGAGCAAACTCCAGGAGATGGTAAAAGACAGGGAAGCCTGGCGTGCTGCAGTCCATGGGGTCACAAAGAGTCAGACACGACTGAGCAACTGAACAACAGGGACTATTCTCAGAGTCCCTTTTACTGCGCCCAGTTGGGGAGAGGGGACTAAGCTATAGTGGACTCCTGGGGACCTTCTCTCCTTCTCTAGAGGGAAGTGTTGATGTTAAGAAGACCGTGGTCCAGAGGCAGAAACAGGGGATCCAGTGTGAGAAGCAGAGAGGGAAGCAGGGGTAATTTCCTGGTAGCTGTGGTCCTCAGGGTTTCTCCTAATGGTGACAACTCAAAGACCTGAACAAAAATCCATCATAGCAGGAGGAGGGGAGTGGAGAAAATTAGAGCAGCATCAGTCCCTCCAAGTCAAACCTTAGGGCTCAACTCAATTTATCCCTACATTGTATTTCCCTGATGGCTGCTGATGCCTTTTGAAATGAAACCATCTTTCCTACTTAGCTTGGAAAGCCTTGTTCTCTGGCTGTTCTGACAACTTACATTTAAAAAATGCATCTGCTAAAACACAGCACTGCAAGAACAGAACAAATTCAATCTTAAAACCTGAGGTTACATTTTTCCCATCGACTCACGCCAGAAATTCAGGGAAAGATCATTCCATCCATGAGTCTCGTGATCGTTGACCTGCATTCTCATCATAACTTGCATAGAAACCTTGGTGAAGGTCCCTCCGGTGACCCCAAAAGGCAGGAGCCCCTAATTCAGAGAAGAAATGTCACAACACCCATGTGGCATCACCATGGGTGTTAAAATTAAAGTCCCCTTTCTAATGACATAAAGGAGCCAAATTCCCTGGTACAATGAGGTTGATTACACTGAGTTCTGTGTCTAATGTCCCTGGAGCTCAATAGAGTAAATGCCTCCTCAGAGGGGCCTGACCCAGGGGTGGTGAACAGTCTAGGTCCCAAGGGAATCTGGCCCACTGCAGTTTTTAAATTAGAAGTTTGATTGCTTGCAACATCATCTTAAAATGGTACCAGTGCAAAGCAGCTGAATTTTTCATTAGCCTGGGGGAGAAAAAATGACAGATATTTAATTAAACCGCTTGGCGATTCGTCAGAGGCTTTATTGATAGATAGAGGCACCAAATCACTTTCTAAGCAAAGTTAGGCCCTCCAGTGATGTGGGGAATCTGTTCTGTCAGAAAGCATTCGCCAAGCTGAGGAGCTGGGACCCACATGCTGCCTTTCCATCACTCTGCCTTTCCTGCCAATGGCAGGGGAAAAAAAATGTTTAAAAAAATGTGTTTATAAAGCACTCGGTGGTCACTGAGGAATTTAAAACCTAACATGTGAAGTAAGAAAGCTACTAACAATTGCAGTTACCAGCGCACCCTCCTAACCCATTTTTCCATTGTTGGAGGGTGATTTAATCAAGGAGGTTGACTGGGAGCAGACCTAGGAAAATAAAAAGAATGATTTGTGTGGTCAGTGCCGGAGGGCAAGTTATGAGAAGGACCCGGCATCCCAGATGGCAAGTATTCAAGGTGTGCAGCAGGTGATTCCGGAAGGGGGTCTTCGGCAGGACCCATGCTGCCCTGGGCACAGCCCCAGGGGTCAGGAAGAGAGGCGGGTCAGCCTCACTGCCTGCACAGTTCCCAGCTCCCAGACTCTCCGGAGGAACTTTAAAGATTAGATTGAAAGTGAAAACATTAGTGGCTCAGTCGTGTCCGACTCTTTGCGACCCCGTGGACTGTAGCCCTCCAGGCTCCTCTGCCCAGGGGCTCTCCAGGCAAGAACACTGGAGCGGGCTGCCATGCCCTCCTCCAGGGGACCTTCCCAGCCCAGAGATCTCGTTACCAAAAAAGTATGTGTGGGGGGTGGTCTGGCTGCCTGCCGCTCATAAGCCAGTAAACAGGCCAGGTTGGTGGAAAGGCAAGTTTGCTTTATTTCAGATGCTGGCAACAAGGCGGGTAGGGTAGCAGACATCTGCCCAAAGGCTGACTTCCGCCCCCACCACAACACGCAGGGGGTGAGAGCTTTTACAGACAGAGTTGGGAGGTGGGGTTACATGCAGAAACAGCACAGTCATCTCTAACAGTCATCTTCAAATTGGTCATCAGTTGATTAGCATCATCTTGGTTGTTTTAGGTACAGTTAATGTTCAGTTCCTGGGTGCACTTGTTCCCATTTCTTTGCAGTCGATTCTCAGACTTGTGGCAGCTCAAGCCCTGGGTACAGTCTGATGATCACGTAGTTAACTTCTCCACCTGGGGTTTTGGTATCTCTAAGACAGCTCACAGGATGTGGCTCAGAATATCACCTACAGCCCTTGAGAAAGAACTAAAGGCCCTTGACCATGCTTAGTCACTACATCATTATTATTCATCTCCTTAGACTGTTTTCCTTTGTTTCACCATTTCTCACTTCTCTGATTAAACTTATTCTTTGACTCAAGTTTTCCACTGGCAGAGGACATGGTGGGGGGCAAGGACCATAGGGTCCTGCTCTGTTTCAGTCAAACTCAGGTGCCCTGCATTGCAGGCAGATTCTTTACTATCTGAGCCACCCAGAGAACCCCAACAGTTAGATTAAGGAAACAAATTTTTGCGAATTCCCCCAAAGCAATAGCTCTTGACTCTAGGTATATATTAATATTTTCCAGGAAGCTTTTGAAAAATACCAATACCTAACCCAGACCAGCTGAGTGGGAATCCCTGGGGATGGACCTGCACACAGGTGTGTTTCGTAAAGCGCTCGCGTGACTCTAAAGTGCAGCCAGGGCCACAAGTCACGTCCTAGGAGGCACTGAAGAGTCCCAGAGTAGGTCGAGTTGGAAGATCCCAGATTCTGGAAGCTGAGAAGCCTGGCTCAGATCCTGACTCCACTACTCACTAAATCTAAGAAACTCAACATAGACTTAAGTGTCCTAGGCTTCATTTCTTTATTTGGAAAGACTCAGTGAGGGCAATTTCTTGGTAAAATAAGAAAAGGGATGTATGCCTGGCCCCTAGTCCAAGCGCACTTTCCTCCCCTTGGTTATAATTCATTAATGATGAATTTATGCTTTATCCCTCTTCCAAGAATTTCGCCTTAGACCACTGTATATAATAGCAAGTGACAGGTGTAGATTGCTTTCTCTATCTGCTTTGTTTTTCCTCTAGAAAAAAATGAAAGTGAAGTCGCTCAGTCATGTCCGACTCTTTGTCACCCCCATGGACTATAGCCTACCATGCTCCTCCGTCCATGGAATTTTCCAGGCAAGAGTACTGGAGTGGGTTGCCATTTCCTTCTCCAGAGGATCTTTCCCACCCAAGGATCGAACCCAGGTCTCCCACATTGTAGGCAGACGCTTTACCTTCTGAACCACCAGGGAAGCCTTAAGCTTTAAAACTATTTGGTATCTGGGAGAGAATAGTGCTTCCCAGGTGGCACTAGTGGTAAAGAACCCACCTGCCAATGCAGGAGACGCAGTTTCGATCCCTAGGTCAGGAAGATCCCCTGGAGGAAGGGATGGCAACCCACTCCAATATTCTTGCCTGGGAAATCTATGGACAGAGGAGCCTGGTGGGCTACAGCGCTTGGGGCCGCAAAGGACATGACTGAGCGACTTGGCACTCCGGCATGCGTGCAGGGAATACTCATGTGGCTCTCCTGTCTCTGTTCCTCCAGCTGCCACAGAAGTGTCCTTTTCATTTGATGTCGGGAACGGACCAGTGGAGATGGTGGTGAGGTCGCCCACCCCACTCAACGATGACCAGTGGCATCGGGTCACCGCGGAGAGGAACGTCAAGCAGGCCAGCCTGCAGGTGGACCGGCTGCCACAGCAGGTCCGCAAGGCCCCGACGGAGGGCCACACCCGCCTGGAGCTGTACAGCCAGCTGTTTGTGGGTGAGTGATGGGACACGCCGCTCACCTCGGGGAGAGGAAAACCGCCTATAGAGGTTCTGATGGAGATTTTTCTAAAAGTGCCTTTGCCTCTTGTGGGCTCCTCTGAGACAATGGGAGACAAGGGACAGGATGCAGGAGCCCTCAATCTGGTGTCACTCTGCTTTCTGGAAGTCACAGTCCTCATCTACAAGATGATAGGGTGCCTAGGGTTTCTCTGAGGTCCCTGATCTGTGCAGTTTTAGGTTTATAGTTTTAGACCTTCACTGAAGTCCTTATAGTCCATAGAGTCAAAGCTGTGATCTTTCCAGTAGTCGTGTATGGATGTGAGAGATGGACCATGAAGAAAGCTGGGCACCGAAGAATTGATGCTTTTGAATTATGGTGCTGGGGAAGACTGTTGAGAGTCCCCTGGACTGCAAGGAGATCCAACCAGTCCATCCTAAAGAAAAACAACCCTGAATATTCATTGAAAGGACTGACGCCGAAGCTGAAGCTCCCATATTTCGGCCACCTGATGCTAACAGACGGCTCACTGGAAAAGACCCTGAAGCCGGGAAAGATTGAAGTCGAAAGGAGAAGAGGGCAGCAGAGGAGGAGATAGTTGGATGGCATCACCGACTCAATGGACGTGAACTTGGGCAAAGTCCGGGAGATAGTGAGGGACAGGGGGACCTGGTTTGCTGCCTTCCATGGGATCGCAAAGAGTTGGACATGACTTAGCAACTGAACAACAATTCCTTAAATGATTTAGAGCACTCGTAACTGAGTAAAAGGAAGGATGCACAAAAGGGGAGGAGTGACGTAATGGGCTCCCTAAGTTCAGGTTTGCTTGAAATGAGAAGTAGAAATCCGCTCCATTGTCTGCCCAGCCTCAAAGTTCTAGGCAGAGGGAGATGGAGCCTTCTCCTTACACAGCATCTTCCCACAGAGGAAAGAGATCAACACGGAGAAGAAACTCAACCAGAGCAAAAAGTAAAGCACCCTTTGCAGGAAGTGGCTCCAGCCCCACAGTCTGGGCTCTGCTTCTGACACTTTCTAACTGAACCTAACATTACTTCCAAGCTATAACACCTCTGTCCATGGTTAGTGAGATCTTAAATTTTATTTTCCAGAATACTAATACCTTAGGCAATTTGCTAATCTTCCTCTGTTGGTTGCAAAGAAAGCAAGTTTGAAGGACCCCACGGCTGCCATGCCACCTTAGACCTCCCCTCTGGGTGTGTGGGCGTTTGCTGGTCAAGTCAGTCGGCTGTGGTGGTCTCAGGCCCAGTAAGGCAGAGGTGACCTGCCACCGGGGCTCTTAGGCAGTGGAGGTCAGAGTCCCCACGGTGTCATTTGTAATTATGGTGGGATGCTTGAAGAATGTTAGAAAGCCACAAGAAGACAGGTGAAAGTAGGTGTCCACTCCTTGGTGAAACATTGGTAAACTGGAAAAGTGTGAGCTTAGTCAGTCAGCTCTGGAAGTAAGACTGACTTGAGAACAAGCCATTTGAATTTTTTTATTGTGGTAAAAGTCACATAATATAAAATATACTATTTTAACCATATTTAACTGCACAGTTCAGTAGTGCTAAGTGCATTCACATTGTTGTACAATTCTCACCATCATCCATCTTCTGAACTCTTCACCCTCCGAAACTGAAACTCTGTGCCCGTTAAAGTAACTCTCCATCCCCTCTCCCCACCCCACTCCTAGCCCCTGGCATCTACCAGTGTGCTTTCTGACTCTATGAATTTGACTGTTCTAGGCACCTTATATAAGTGGAATCAAACAGTATTTGTCTGCATCTACCGTATACTAGAATGCATTTTTTATTAGCATTGGAATGCATTTTAAGGTTAACTTAATAGATGTCCTACAAACAGATTGGACCTCTGTCTTCTTTTATCCCTATGCTTTATAGTTGGTTCTCATTAGTTATCTATTTTATCCATAATAGCGACTTAGCAGCAGCAGCAGCAGCAGCGGTGTACATACATGGGCTTCCCAGGTGGCCCAGTGGTAAAGAATCCACCTGCCAAGCAGGAGACACAAGAGATGAGGGTTTGGTCCCTGGATCGGGAAGGTCTCTTGGAGTAGGAAATGGCAACACACTCTATATGTCAGTCCCAATCTCCCAACTCATCCGACCCCCTTCCCCTGCATGGTATATATATTTGTTCTCTATGTTTGTGTCTCTATTTCTGCTTTGCAAATAGGTTCATCCATACTATTTTTTCTAAATTCCACATATATGCATTAATATTATTAAATACCAGGTCCACAAATTCCTGCTGAATACTGTGAGCAAATCTCCCCTTATCAATACCTCTTGGCCAGATCACGTAGACATAAGTCTCTTCCTAAACCCTGCTCATCCCAGGCATTCTGGGTAGATTCTACTTGGTTGTCATTATAACAGATGACCCTAATTGACCCAGGTTCTCATTTTTCTGAGATAACTTTGGATGCAGAGGTCCAATTTTACTTTTATCTCTTTCTGTCTACTGACTATAGTTATCTCCAACATTTTTGGAGACTAAGCAAAACTGTAAAATGAAGAAGGTAGGGAGAGTATTTATTATGGCCTTGGAAAGAATTTTGATTCATTTCAATGAGATGACCAGAGACAGCTTATAAAAAGAGCAGAGGAGAGGACTGAGGTCAGAATTCAACAGAATACTTAAGTGTACGGGACAAACAGAAAAAGAGCATCTCAGGAAGAATGAGGAGGGATGAAAAGAGCAAGCAAGGAAAAGCCAGGAGAGCAGCTGTCACAGGGGGAGAGAGTTTCATGACATGGTTTGCTTATTACTGACAAATCATACCAAGTGCCATGCTTGAAACAGGGCTAAGAAAATATTCTTTGAGTTTACCAATTATGAAACCACTGTTGACCTTGGAGAGAGAAAAGGTTCACAGAAGTGGGCTGATGTGATGAGTCAGCAAGTTCCTTTCACTTGATGAGGAAGAGAAAGGTCCCCTGCCCCAGTTTCTAATTTCCTGTTATCTGAGATGTGGACGTGCGTCTCATCACCAAGACACAAACTCATTGAGCTGGTATGAGAAACGCTCTTCGAGCCAGTATGAAAAACATCTTCTGCAATAGAAGTCTACCCCAGGGGACATGGGAGGGGGCTTGTTTTCAGAAAATAACAAATTCAACAGCTATGAAATTCTGGAGCCAGTTACCCGAAGACTATTCAATAGGGATTCAGATAACCGGAAGCGGTTCTCAGTTCAGCTCTAATAACAAGAATTATCACTTTTCCTCTTTTTCATCTAATAAAAATCTCCTTTTTCACCCAATCAAGGTGTTGGATTTGCTGCTTTCCCAACTTTCTTCTAACTTTAACCATTTAAGATTATGTGTTAAGAAGTGGTTTGAAAAGGTCTGAGTTGCCAACCACTCATAACATAACTGAGAAAGCTTCATAACTGAGTTGTGATCACTCATAACAACCCCAACTCTGCCACTTAGCATCTGGAGACCACTGACAAGTTAGCCAGTATTTCCATCAGACAGGAAGATGAGCCTGTCAGGTGAGATGAGCCTGTGCATGCTAAGCGCACCGTGGCGTACCCAGCTCAGAGCCAGCACTCATTAACTGGGAGGTGTCTCACCACCCTCCCCTTGACCTTTCATTCCCTTAGCTTCCTCTGTCCACTGTGTCACGTTCACCCCCTCCTACAGGACTCGCTTCCAACTGGCTTGTTTCTTCCCACCCCAAATCCTCACCTGGGATCTCTTCAGCCCGCCAGCCCTGAAGGAAAGTTCATGGGCTAGATGCCCCTTGATATCCAAAATCAGTCTTCAGCCGCTCCACTCACCTGCCACAGTGGCCACAGAGCAGCTAGCCAGGGCGCAGGAATTTTCTCACCAAGATGGTGAGTGAATGTCCACCTGCCAACATCACCCAGCAACACTGTCTTCAGCAGAGACGTGACTGGAGCTGACCGAGGGCTTCTAGAGGTGGACAGGCATAAAGCTCAGCCTAGAGCTAAAACAGACCCAGGGTCGTTCTTGGCTTTGGACCCAGAGTGGACTCCCAGGATGCCCACCCTCCACCCGCTGCCTTTGTTAACCAGAGCCGGGCTCCCGTCTCCTCTTCCACTGAAAAAACGAGGACACAGCTCTCATCACCCCGCCGGTAAGAGGTAACTAGAAGGTACCATGAAAAGCCAGTTAACACAAGTCGTTTGGAAGTTATGGGAATCCAGCTATGATGGTGGTTTAGTGAAAAGGTCATTTTAAAATGAAAAGTGTCACAGGGAAGAGAAGAGCGGTTGCTGAGATTTGTCTGAAAAGCACCAGAAGCTTTCTCGTGTCTTTGGTCCGCGATGAGCGAGTAGCCTGAGATGCGTTCCCGCGTAGCCTGCAGGGGCCCGTGAAACACGAGAGGCTCAGACCTGCAGCCTCCACGCAGCCACAGGCCAGATTTTACCCGGCGGGTGGAGAAGAGCAGACACACTCGAGGTCATTATCTAAGTACAAACAACACCAGGCTGCAATGAGCCCAGGTTGGCAGAGAGACCTGCCAGTGAGTCCAGAGTCCTGGCCGCCGAAGCTGCAGCGGCCGGGCTGGAAGGGAACAGGGGTCTGGCGGACCCTCAGCCTGGAGCCCAGCGGCCGGCCTGGGGCAGGGTCAGCGTGAGCCTTCGGGGACAGGCGAACAGGCTCGCTGGGATCGGCGGGGCTGGTGCAGGAGTATGCAACAAAATCCACCCAGGCCAGAGTGTGGGACTGTGCTCGGCAGTGGTTTAAAGAGAAGGCCAGCTTTCAGGAGAGCTGGAGACTCCAGGGGGATGTCAAGCTGCTCCTAAGGACTCCTTGAGTAAGATGGTTGGTGGTGGTGGTTGAGTCACTAAGTCGTGTCTGACTCTTGCGACCCCGTGGACTGTAGCCTGCCAGGCTCCTCTGACCATAGTTAGGTCCTCTTAACTATGACAGATGTTCGGGCCCAACTCATTTGACTCTGACCTCTTCTGATATCTCTCTGGAAGATAAAGGGGGCCAAGC